TGAGGGCTCCTGGAGGGGCGGTCCATCGGACACCTGCGCATGTGACCTTTGAAGGGCTCGCACTGACATACTTGTTTCCTGTATGTCTTGCGATCGTTGATGATCTCCTGTTTCTTAGCCCTTTTGTCCCAAGCCTCTGGCGTCTTGGTCTTGCCACCCTTGGTACGTATTATCGCGCCAGTTTCGTCCCTTTTAGTGCAGTACTCTTTAGAATACCAGTGGCGAAGCGTGTCCATCGAGTAGCCGGGGTACCATTTGATGTACCAATCCGGCACATGCTGAGCGGATACTCCAACGGAGTGCTCAGTACTGTATGGATAGCCCGATTCATCATGTGTGGGGCGTCTGGGAGCTGAACGGCTCCTCCTGCGGGCTGGCCCCGCTGACGCACTACCACGTGCCATTGGCCTTTGGTCGTCATGCTCTGAGTCTCGGGGAGGCGACGGTCGTCTGTCCCTCTTGGCGTAGCGCATGTCCTCCGAGTCCTCTGAGCTGTCCTGGACCATGAACACGTTTTGATACGGGCTTCGGAAGTACCCGATGTCGTTTAACTGCTCCATCGTGAGGTCGTTAATGTCCATTTGATCACAACCTTGCATGAATACATCCATAGACCAAGCGGGTGGCCCCGCTGTTGTGTCTGGCGTCTCTTCGGCGGGTGACCCCGCTAGAGCTTGGAGTGCTGTCAGCATCTGAGATGCTGACATGTCCGAATCCAAGTATGGACGTAGACGTGCAACTCCTGGGTGTGACAGCAGTTCGTTCATAGTTATCTGCTGCTGTGCTGGCGCACTCAGGAGTCGGATGGCTTCTGAAGCCTGCTCTTGGAGCATGTCCTTATAATCTTCTTCGGCTTCTTCGGAGTCGGAATACGCGGGATGGCCCCGCATTTCGTCATCGGCGTCTCCCGCCTCCGAACCAGCCCACGAAGGATTTGGCAGCAACGGCATGCCAATCACTTGCGGGGCCAGCACGGCGGTGAGTTCTTCCTCTGTTGCCGGGACGGTCTCGGCTTCGGAGACCTCGTCGCCGGCGGGTGGCCCCGCTGGAAGACCGAACCAAGCATTGTACGCGACCTCGTCGACCTCGTCCCAGCCGTGGAACTCGTCGAAGAGGGTCACTGCGTAGTCTTCCAGGGCCACAGTTGCTTCAGCGTAGCGGGCCATCACGTAATACGTGGAGGAGCCCGCAGCGGGAGCCGCTTCTGGATTGACGTAAAACTCGTAGTCAATGTAATCTATGTCATCCATAAAAGAATTTTGAGCCAAATGTACGGATCCCTTTCCTTTCCCCTTCGGGCATTGATCGCGCAAATGCTCTGTGCTACCGCATGTATGACACTTCATAGTATTACCAGAAGCGTCCCTAGGGTTGCCCCTCCGCCCTTTTCCCTTACCGGAGGTCCGCCTGTGACCCCGACCTTTGCCTCCGATAAGAACTTCTTCAAAAGCCATATCAGTTAAGGACGTGAGGAAAGCAGTAATACCCCTACCATGCATACGGCGTCTGCGACCCCCTTTGCCACGACCCTTTCCAAATCGTTTGAAATGTCGGCGTACTGCACGTCTCACCTTTCTGACTGGTTTCTTCATAAAGCGCCTCCAACGGCGTTTTGATTTGCGATAAGCCATAAAGGCGGCTTCCGCTCTTTGTTGTTCAGAGAGGTGAGTGTCATCCGCTGGGTAGTCATTACCAGCAGAGACTATTCCATTGTGCTCATCGTCAGATGAGGTATCTGTGTCAGTGCCAGATTCAAACGGTGAGGGTGGCTGAGACCATTGAGCGGATGACTCCGCTTGGCCCCAGAGGGTTGTGCCCGAGGGCGGGCTTGCAGTGTAGGCGGCGCCTGGCGAGTAGTTCGACCAGGCGTTCGCCTCAGCTGCCTCTGCCGATGCCTGGCCGGTCTGCCCTAGAAGGGCAGTGGCCTCGTTGGGCATATCGGCTGGGTCAGCCCAGGGATTTGGCTCGCCAGGACCAGCGGGTGACCCCGCAGTCGTGGCGTAGACACCTGCATGTGAGTGGTGCCCTGTGAAGATACCCGCTATGTTGCCAGGAGAGCGCTCGGCAACATGTCCGTAGTTCCTCATCCTGGTCAGCAGCCTGTCATAGTCTGCTTGTGTTCGGGGCATCTGATGATTGAAGGGCTCAAGCAGGTGTTGGGCTCGTGACGCGCCAACGCCTAACGCTCTGAAGAGAATCAGCGTTAGGATCTGAAAGTTGGGGATGACAAAGCCAACGGAGTTAGCCTCGTCACGGGCCATCTCGAACCGAGCTAACACTGAGTCGATTCGCTCGCCCCTTTCGACGCGAAAGTCGATAAGGGCAGTGCCAGAGTTGAGCTGGCGCTCATCTTCCAGATTTTCAAATTTGGTGCTCAGTAAGTACAGTATATATGTTACTGCATCCGTTGGCTGTCCATTGACAGTTACACCATAATTGATGATCTGGGAGGGGACCTGCATGGCGATACGACGAGCCAGACCTTGAAGGCCTCGTTGTAGTGCTGCAGCTTGTTGTGGTGGTGTCATATTGCCACTCGTTACGTTTAACCATGCATGTACTTCGCGAACGTATTCGCGAAAAGGCGTAGTACCGGCAGGGTCCCATGAAGGGCCAGTAGTACGCGTGTCGTCCATCCCCTGCCGCATGTATCCCACAGCACATCCCATTATTACCCACAGAATGCCGAATATAGTTATCTTGATCCAATGCATGTGCATTTCGGCTTCGGTGATTGGTTTAGGCTGTGGTTTGTCAGGCTCTGGCGTAGTAGCCGTGAGGCGCCTGACTGGCACGGGATGCAGGTGGCCCCGCTGCGGGTAGCCCCGCAGGGTGACCACGTTCTCGATCGAGTTGCCGATTGGCATCTGGTGGAAGTCGGGAGTGAAGTAGCGCAGTGAAGTAGGAGAGAGCGTCTCGAGTTCGCGGGTTGCCCCGCTAGCTCGATCGCGGACTGGCTCCGCTCCTCGCAGAGCCGGCGCAACATGGTATTCCACCGTAGTAGTAGTCCACCAAGTTGTGCCGTGGATTACAGGAATCAGAGCGAGAGCCAGCCACACGAGAGTGTAGCCAGCTCCGCTACCAAGTCGAAAACAAGCTGGTAAGCTTAGGTATGTGTTACGCTTTAAGCGTTGCCATATCCCAGGCTTTGGCTCATATCGCATGAGCAAGAGGGCAAGACGAAGCATGGGATCTGGAGTAAAGGATAGGATGGGCATCGTCAATGGAAAAGGTATTTTCCGATCTCTGATGCAAGTCGTGCGCCTCAGTGAGGCACAGTCATATATTGGCCGGGCCCGGCTTGAGCCAGGCACGGCAGCGGTACATGCTCGATTTATACCTCGCCTTTAACCTTCTCCGTTTAAAGTGGGGTGACGCCGAAAGGGGGCGCGCAAGGTGGCCAGATCCAAGCGAGCAAGCAGCCGCGAAAGCATCGCGTTCCGCAATCGGGGGGGGGGGGGGGGGCGATGTTGCGCAGGGACTGACCGTCCCGGCATTCCTATAGGCCTTCCACGACATGTTCTGAGAACCCAGCAATGTTCTTATCTAATAACCAAAACGATGTTCTTAGAACATAAGACCCGTGTGTCAAAACAAGGCAGTCTGAGCCAACATGGTTCTAAGAACATGTCGTGCAGACCACAAAAGGTTATTATAACATGCTTATAGGCAAGCCAGCACGTTTCGCCACTGCTTGACGATGAGCCCGCACCACATCCCACTCCGGCAAAAGGCCACTCTCACGTGCAGTCGAAGGCGGCGGGGCAGGCTGCCGAGAGAACCCCCTGGCCGGCCAGGCCCACCGCGGACGCGCGGGCCCCGCCAGCATCGAGGCCGCGCATACATGGATTGGCGATCCATGGATTTGGCGCGCGGTCGCCAAGTCCATGGATCGGGGGAGGTGCCCTCCCCAAAATGCGGCCAGTGCCGCCTCGCTCGGCGGCGGAAATCTGCGATTTCCCAGGTAAACGCGACCCGTCGCTAATCCACGCCCCCTTGATCCATGTTTGCGATCGCAGGGCCTGGCAGCAGGGGCGGCCTCCTCAGCGTCGCGAGCTCCGGCGGAGCGCCCGTGGCCGGCCTGGCCGCAGTGGTGCCAGGAGGGGCGGGGCTCATGCCTCGCGAGGGGGTCGCGAGGCGCGCGGGCCTGGCGCTGGAGCCCCCGACGATGCCTCTCGAGCGCCCCCCCTGCGCCCGCGGGCCGGTGCCGTGAGGTCTGCCCCCCGTCGAACCAACAAATGGCTGCGGAGGATGGGGAGGAGGAGGCGGAGGAGGAGGAGGAGGCGGAGGAGGAGGAGGAGGCGGAGGAGGAGGAGGCGGAGAAGGAGGACCCCACAGGAAGCGGGGGCTCTCCTTCGACGAGTCCTGCAAGGGCGAATGCTGAGGCCAGGCCTCGGTAGGCTGGCAAGTGATGCCTGCGGGGAGCAGGCCGCTCAGGGCCGCTCAGAGCTGGGAGCACGGCGCCGTCGAAAGCACCCCTCTGGGCCCCGGGCCCCAGGAGGGAACCACCGCGGACACCTCCCGAGCCAGCGGGCTGTCGGGCGCAAGGACTGTGATCTGGGGAGCTAGCTAGTTCCCAGAACTCCGACGGCGTAATTCTTGGTCCTTAGACCTCCAACATGATGGCAAAATTCAGTTCGGAGGTTTTTCTCAACTTTCGGCCCCCAGGGGACCCCGCCGGGCCCCTGGACCGTCAAAAAACAACTCGCGATGAGAACCTGGCCCATTGGGAACGGGTTGGGACTTTCTGGGGGCCGCGCTTTGGAAACAAGAAAACATCGGGTTTTGGGTCTAGACCCCTTCCCCGGCACAGGTGCTTCCGCCCTGGCCGTTGCTGACGGTCCCAGCGCCAGGCGAGGGCCCCCGGAGGCCGCGAAAATAGCCAAACACCACACTGTCACACGCCGCAATTTTTTCCGCAACGAGAGAAGGCCGGGGTTTGGCGAAAAAGCCCGCCGAGACCGCCATCCCGTGGCCACACGGCGGCTGAGGCGCGGCGCCAGCTTCCCCGTCTCGTCCACGGACGACTGGTTGAGACGGAGGGAGAAGCCGCTCAGCCGGCCTAGGAACAGCTCCTGGCGCTCCCTCTCGGACACGACCGACACGTACACCTCGGGCCGCCGTCATCGTCTTCATCGCCGTCGTCGGCGTCGGCGTCGGCGCCGGCGTCGGCTTTGGCGGCGGCGGCGTCGTCGGCGTCGGCGTCGGCGTCGGCGTCGGCTTCGGCGGCGGTGTTCGGCGTCGGCGTCGTCGTCCCAGCAGGCAGCGCGGCCGCTGCTCGGGGCGCCTCCCGGCCCGCCCGCCTCCTCCCGCCTGCGAACAACCACGGGTCCTCCCTGTCGCAGCCCTGTGCAGCAGGTTCGCGTCGTGCCGACTCTTCGGCGTTGGTTTTTCTCCGACACCGCGGGGACACATCGACGAAGGTACGGAAACAATGTGCACGATGACTGGCAACAGTTCTCGGCGGCGAGCCCGGGGGAGAAGTTCGGGGTTCGAGGTTTTCGGGCGTCGTCGTCCGTTCTCGGCGGTTTTCCAGCCTCCGGTTGCGTTCAAACAGCTGCGCCTCGCCGCGGGCGTTCCAGGGGTGCCCGGATCGTCCCGAACGGCCGCTGGAGAGCCGAGCTATGTCCCGAAAGCTAGACATCAAGCGTCAGGTACGATCGAAATGGGTACGGCAGGCTCGTGTTGTGTCGACCCCGTCGCTGGTTCCTAACATCGCGGGAACCTTGCAGTCTTGATACGTCAGATCTTTCAACGTCGACCGATTCTGGGTTGCCAGCGGCGTTCCACTCTGAACGCCGGCGGCGGGGCCGCCGCTTGTCGACACGACGCGAAAGTATATCACACATCACACAGCGCGGCCGTGCGAGCACAGCAAACGCGCGCCTGACCAGAATGTGACCCGGCCCCGAACACCTTGACCTTCTAAGTGAACCCTGGCATCAGCACGGGGGAAATCAAGGGGTTACTCCCCGGAGCTCTCCTGGGGTGCGTTCTGACCAGGACTTCGGGGCGAGTCCAGCGGTGGCGATGAGGGCCTCCCGCCCAGGAGGCCCGAACAGGGGAAAACGCAAGAAAAGTAGCGGTGTGCGTGCCTTTGCCCTCCTCTGAAGAGCAGTGTCACCAGGGACTGCCCCTGCTCCCCTCGCCTCCCTAACCACCCATGGGGGGACAACGTATTTAGGGGCGGGGACGATCAGGGGAAGCATCTCGAGCTGGAATCGGCGGTAACTCGCCGGCAGGTCGGCGATAATCCACGCCCCCTTGATCCATGTTTGCGATCGCCTGACCCTATCGGCGATCAATGAGCGATCGGGGATCGACTGATTCCCCCCTGAGCGCATCCCCCCCTGACATTGCCCTTGCACTTGCGGGTCATTGCCCGGCAATCTCTGGCGGCCGACCGGGACGGTCCAGGCACCCCCGGGAATGCTGGAACGCTCTCGGCGAGGCGCAGCCGCTGGAGGACATCCCGAGGCTGGAAAGCCGCCGAGAGCCGACGAGAACGCCTGAAAACCTCCTACCTCGAAGCCGAAACTTCCCATCGGGGAGAGGAGGGGGGCGACATTCCTTCCCCCCCAGCGTTGCCCCTGATGTCTCCGTCGCTCACCGTACGAGAACGGGGCTCATGCACCGTACCATGGTTGGACTCCCTTCAGGCCCTGCTCCGGGGCGGTCACGTGCATAGTAATAATGCCGAAGTAATAATGCACCGACCGTCCGGCCCGACCACATGCAGCTGTGAGTACCGCTTCGTGAGGACACGAAGCGCGGGAGGGGTGTCCTGTAAGGGATGGGCGGGACGCCTGCGGCCGCGGCCACTGGGGCTTTCGGTAAAGCTCCCTACGGGGCCACGAAGCGCTGTACTTGGCGGGGGGGGGGCGCATGCGGCCGCGGCCACTGGGTCCTTCAGTAAAGCTCCCTATGGGGCCACGAAGCGCTGTACTTGGCGGGGGTGTGCGCGTGTGGCCACGGCCACTGGGGCCTTCGGTGGAGCTCCCTACGGGGCCACGAAACTCTGTACTGGGTGGCGCGGACGCATGCGACCGCGGCCGCGGCCACTGGGGCCTTCGGTGGAGCTCCGCATGGGGCCACGAAGCGCTGCACTGGGCCACGCGGACGCATGCGAGCGTCGCATGTGGGGCCTTCGGTGGAGAACCCTATGGGACCACGGAGCGCTGTACTGGGCCACGCGGGAGCATGCGACCGCGGACATCCGGGCCTTCGGTGGAGCTCCCTGTGGGGCCACGAAACAGTGTACTGGGTGGCGCAGACGCATGCGAACGCGGCCACTGGGCCCTTAGGTGGAGCCCCCCCTGGGGCCACGAAGCGCAGTACAAGGTAGCGCGGACGCATGCGAACGCGGCCTCTGGGGCCTTCGGTGCAGCTCCCTATGGGGTCAAAAAATGCGTCAGGGATGTACCGCAATGGTTGACATGAGGAAGGCAGAGGCAGGGGTGGGAGGCGGAGCAGAGGGGAGGAGAGAAGACGCGGGGCGCTGTCTCTTCAAAACGAGGGCCCAACATCACAGGACGCTTGGGAACAGGACTGTCTCAGCCAGAAACGTTCTCAGAACAGCTCGTGCAAACAATTGGAAAGAAGGTTATTGGAACCATTCCCTGGTGGGCCGATTGGCGAGTCGGGACGCTTCGCCACTGCCTGAGGAGCCACTCCTGGGGTCGAAGATCGGCGACGGTGCTACGGTGCGCGCCAACACGCCAAGCGTCCGCGCTCTCGCCGCCTCCCGCCCGTGGCAGATATGGCGCGTGAGCGGCAGGGGCTCCACCGGGCCCGCGGGCGCCGCAGGGGCTCCAGCAGTCGTGTGGTGTGGACTGAGGTTAACGACCAAAGGGTCGAACCTGCCGTAGGGTCCGTAATTAGGTAGTGCACGTTTCTCCTCACGGCCCGATGAAGGTCGGGCGCAATGTCATATCCAATACCTAAGCCGAGAGGATTGCAGGATAGATGGATAGGATGGAGAGGAGCGGCCTTCACACCCAAATGGGTGCCAAATGTTCGGACCTGCCCTCGCGGGAGTGGACAGAACTTTTGATTCCTGGAGGGAGCGTTTTGGCAAGCACTGCGTGCACGAAGGGGACAGGAGAAAGGGCAAAGCCACCCGCCACTTCGTGCGTCCGGCACCAGCGGCACGGGCGCGCCCTAGCTCCTGCCTCACCGCGACCCGCAGGTCAGGAGAGGGTCCCCCAAGGGGCGGGGCTGGAGTCGCGGAGGCGCTGCCCGAAGGAGGCCGAGGCTTGCCTTCCAGAGGGAGAGGATCTGAGCTGCTGCGAGAGTTGAAGGTGCCCGACAGGTCTTGCGTTATCCCCCGGGCTTGCTTGGCCATCGTGGGTCCGTTTCTGCTCGACGGGGGGTCCTGGGGTCAGGTCGGGCATGTCCCCCTATAGGCGGATTTGGACCAAACATGAAAAATAGTCAAAACATGCCCCAAAGTCCCAAAGTAGTCCACAACTGCTTGAAAAAAAACGTCCCCCTACCACTTCTTAACTATTCTTGTATATTCCTCCTGTAGAGGGACATGCCCGACTTCATCCTGGAGGAGAGGGTCCTGGGCGGAAGCGTTCGGCGAGAGCGCCGCCGCACCCTGGCCCTCATCCCGAGGGGCGGGGTGCGAGCTTCCAGGGGGAAGATGGGAGTGGACCACATGACGGAGCCTCCAACTTGCACAGCCTGTTGCACGGTCGGTGTTCAAGCTGCACGCACTGGGGCAAACAGGGGAGAGGACATGAGCGGCACGCGGCCACCGAATCCCACCACGGGATGACCAGCACAGTAGCGTGAAACAGAATATCGCCCGGCAAACCATCAACGCCACACGAACCCACCTGCCATGGGCCATTGGCAAAGCCAAGCGATGATCAACGGCCTGCAATGAGAGAACAAAACAAGAGGGGGACATCGAGGGAGGCGGCGAGACAAGAGGGAGGGCGTGGACAGATCTTAGGGGTGTCGAGAACTGTGCGGTGACGGACCGTGGAAAGACCGCGGACAACTCCGAAGACTCCACCGCACGGTCCGTCACCGCACGGTCCTCGGAGCTTGCTTGGCGGCTCCAGCTGCCCGAGACATTCTCGGAGAACGACCCGAGGCCCAAAACAATTCGATGACCCTGAGCTCTCACCGGCTCACCACAATATGGTCACCACACCGTCTGGGGCCCCCGCGAAGAACCACCTTCAGCAACACACCCTTTGGTGAAGCCGACCGGAAACCAAACCCGACAGGCGCAAGCCGACAAACAGTACGGCCACAATGCCCTCTCGGGAACCGATAAGGGGCAGATCACGAATTGACTTGGCAGGCCCCGGAACCATCAAAAATGGAAGAGGATCGGGGACGAATAACTACTCTCAGAGAAGCGGTCGGTACCTCTGCGCCTCGGATCGAAACAAGCAGATCGGCGTCAGGGCATCCGCCCCCTAGGACTACACGAAGCCCCTCTGGCCTACAAGTCGCCCTCCCCGGCGGACTTTTGGCCCCCCGCAGCCCGCACTGGTAGGCCCTCAGAGTAACTCGCGCAGCCGCTGCGGTAGCCAGCTGCACCGCGTGTGTTCCCGCGCTGATGGCAATGGCGAAAGCAGGGTGTCAAAGCGTTGTCAGCAATGGCGCTGCTGCTGGGCCTGCTGCTGATGGTGCCAGGTGTGTTTTTCATGCTGCGTTTGATCAACCTGGAACTTCTGCTCAGTGGCGTGCTCGTTCATAGCGCAATCGGAGTATTAAATTCCGCCATGTAGCCAAAATGCCTCATCAATGCTACTTCCTCCTCCTCCTCCTCTTCCTCCTCCTCCTCCCCCTCTTCCTCCTCATGTTCTTACTGCCGATGCTCCTGGCTGTCAGCTTCATCGCGCGCCTTGCTGAGCTTCAGGTGCAGGTCCAGGTGTGGCCTGGCACACAGAGCTCAGTGGGTTGAAACGAAGAGCGAGACACGTCTGTGATGACCCAGATCCGCAACCCAGACACGGTAATCTGCAGCGTCTCCCTCGCTAGCTCGGAGAGCAGAGTGGACGCAACCCGTGCACTTACAAAAGCACATACACCCTGATCGATATACACATATAGATATGCATAAATATACGTAGATGTACGAACAACTATATGTATGCTTGTATGTAGGTATGTATGTATGTATGTATGTATGTATGTATGTGTGTATGTATGTATGTATGCATTTATGAATGTATGATTGTGCTGCAGCTTTGTGTACAGGGGAGCAGGGAAAGAGAGAGAGAGGGAGATAAAGACACACACACACAACAGAGACAAGGAACGAGAAGTACACACACGTGTATATATATACACACATACATGTATGTACATCGCCAGATAGACACGATGTCGATGCGCAGGTAGCGCAGAAGACATACCCATCCATACGCGCAAACACACATTCACACATTCACACAGACACACAGACACACACGTATACACGTATATAATTCTACATGGTAGCCGCACGCATATATCTATGATCATATACATACACATATGTGTAGGCGCTTGTACATATCAATACAAGGAGCTGAACGGTCTTACACCATCCCTTGATCCATGGCTTACGTGTGATTCCACACCGCTAAAATTGTCTGTTATGTTGTGTGTTGCTGATTGCTTGTTGTGTTGTTGTCGTCGTCCTCACCTGCGACCCACCCGCGAGCCGCCCGCAACCCGCGCGCGACTCTCCCGCAACCCACCCTCAACCCGCCCGCGCCCCACCCGCGCGCCTCTGGCGACTCACCCACAATGCTCTGACAGAAATTTGGCGCCTGCGGCGGGCTCGGCGTGCACTCTGTTTGGAACAAAAGTCAAAACATATATATATATATATATATGTATATCTATATAGATATGTTATATATATATATATATATAAACGGCGCCTGCGGGAGGGCCTCTTGGAACCTCGCAGACTGCCGACGACCCCGCCGCCCCCTCACTCTAAGCATCAACAGCGGGGGCGATGGGGCACCACATACGTATGAAGCCATACACGTGCAGATATAACCACGCGTATAAACAAGTATATGTGCGCGTCTACATGTACATGTACGCATGAGTGAGGGGGGTGAGAGAGAAAGAGAGAGAGAGAGAGAGAGAGAGAGAGAGAGAAAACAAAAAAAAAAAAAAGAGAGAGAGAGAGGGACAGACAGAAGGAACGCACAAAAACAGAGGAAGGGAAAGACACATAGACAGAAAGAGAAAAATATAGAGACACTACAAAAAATGAGAGAGAGAGAGAGAGAGAAAAGAGAGAGAGAGAGGGAGAGAGAGGGAGGGGCCGGGGGATCGCTGCCACCGTGCCTTCAGGACGCAAAAAGGCGCTCCAAAGCTCATGCAATTGGACGGAAGTTCTGCAAGGTTTTTTCAGTGCCGAGAACACGGGATTTCCCAAAATGTCCGGCGCTCCCCAAAATTCGTGGGCGCTCGTGAGGTTTGTCGCGTGAGGACCGAGTCAAGCGGCACAACGCCTTACGAGACCAGGCTTTCTTCGCCGCGCAAGCCGCGGGGTTCCCAGGCTCCGAGCTCGAACGGCCTGGCCTTCTGCAGCCTCGCGCGAGCGGCGAGGGCCCGCCTGGGACGAAAGAGAACGGCGGCGAGCTCGACGACGGCGGCCGACGCCCGGCGGATGTGTATATTCCCCGTTGGCGTAACGGCGCCCCGGCCGCCCTTGACTTCGCGGTCACCTCGGGGCTGCGGGGCGACCTGCTCGCCGCCTCGGCTGCCGCGCCTGGCGCCGCGGCCGAGCGCTACGAGGAGCAAAAACGCCTCTTCCTCAACACAGAGCGCAGCTGCGCCGCCGCTGGGATCACCTTTATTCCCATGGTGGTCGAGGCGCACGGCGGCGGCTGGGGCAAGGAGGCGCGACGCGCCCTGGCCGTCCTGGCCAAGCGCGCGGCAGACGCCACGGGGGACGACCCCTCGCAGGTGGCGGCGGAGCACGCCCAGCGACTCTCGCATCTCCTCCAAAGGGAGAACGCGCGGGCCGTGCTCCGCAGGCTACAGGCGCCGGTCGGGGCGCCCGCGGCCAGGTTTGCGGCGGCCACGGCGGCCAACGCGGCCGACGCCGCCTGAGCCGCCGGCCCACTCCCCCTCCCCTGACTACGACCACCGCCCCCGGCCCGCCCCAACGACCGCGACCGCCCCCGACGCCCTGCCCTGACTTGACCACGACCGCCCCGACGACTGCGACCGCCCCCGACGACCACGACAGCCCCCGACGACCAACGCCCCCGACGCCCTGCCCTGACCACGACCGCCCCGACGACCACGACCCTCCCCGACGACCACGACCGCCCCCGACGACCAACGCCCCCGACGCCCTGCCCTGACCACGACCGCCCCCTCCCCCGTCCACGACGACGACCTCCTCCGTCCGCCCCCTCGTTCCTGCTTGCTCTGCGCTGCCTCTGCCGCTCCCCTCCCTCCTCAAGTCCTGTTCGGCGTTTGTTCGCAATGCTTTTTCTTCTTGCCCCTCCTCCTCCTCCTTCCCTCTCTCCCTCTCGCCGGAGTCTGCGTGCCTCTCAGCGGGCGCTCCGGACGGGCGGCACCTCCGGCGCCAGGCAGCCTGCCGCTCTTTTAGCTGTTTGCCCCAGAATCGACGGCTGTAGGGCCAGCGGAAGTGCTCTGCCGATGCGCCGTCTAGGCGCCGCTTCTTCCTGTCCTGTCATGGTAGGCCTGCGCAGAGCGGACAGCTGCCGATACTACGTTTCCTGCTGAGCGCGCCTGAAAAAAAAAAAAGTTTTTTCAGTGCCGAGAACACGGGATTCCCCAAAATGTCCGGCGCTCCCCAAAATTCGTGGGCGCTCGTGAGGTTTGTCGCGTGGGTCTCTTGGACGGTGACCCGACCGATAACGACCCGAAAAAAACCCAAAGGGTCCCCGAGAAGCGCCCTAGAGGGTCTACGGGCGCCCTGAGAGTGCCCCCAGACACCCAAAGACTGGCCACGACGCCCTCCAGAAAACCCCAGAAGCCCGAAGAAACCCTAAGAATGCGCCGGGAAGCTTAGCGTTCTCCCCTGTTTGGGTTCCCGACGCTCCAAGACGGGCCACGAGGCCCCCAGAATCGCCCGAGGACGGCCCAAGAGGCCCCCATACGCGCATACAGAATTACACACATACGTACATGCATGCGTATATATAAACGCACGCGTACACATGCGTTTATCGTTTATAAAGATGCAAACATGCATGTGTATATAGAATGCCATGCGCGAATGCTGCGCGAGCACACCCATAATGATACAATGTATACGTGTATAGATACCGAACACCTTATTTCAAGTGGTATTGGCATGCACATATAGTTGGTGGAAGCATATATACGTACACGCACTATGACCCAGATAACTCTGCGCACGTAATTATTTCTTATACACGTGAACATGTGGGTGTATATTCAAAACTATATACATAAACGTATGCATGCACGTCTATATGTAAATTCATGTGTATATGGGTGTGCATGCATGCATCCGCATATATATATATATATATATATAGAGAGAGAGATCGAAAAAAAACCATCGCGCGCGCTTCGCGCGCGCTTTGGTTCTAGCCGAGATCACGGCAAGGCCCTGACAGAAGTATCAAGGCAGTCCTTTTCTGATGTGTATATATATGCATATATATATGTCCGTCCTTCTCCTCCTCCTCCTCCTCCTCCTCCTTCTCCTTATCCTTCTTCTTTTCTTCCGCCTCCTTCGTCCTCTTCCTCCTCCTCCTCCCCGCCTGTCTCTTTCCTCCGTTTCCTTAGTTCCCTTCCTTCTCCTCCACCACCTCCTCCTCCCTCATTTGCTTCTGCTCCTCCTACACGTTCTTATTATGTTCCTCTTCCCTCTCCTCCTTTTCCTCCCCCTCCTCCTCCTCCTCCTCCTCCTCAAGACCCTGTGCCCTTCCTCCTCCTCCCCCTCCCCTTCCCTGGCCCGGACGCCTCCCGATCCGGGCGGCCTCCCCGGTCCGGATACCCCTGGGAACCGTAGGCCCCACGACCCTTGAAGTCGGCGCCAGGAGTCTTCCGAATCCTTCGGCCCCTGGGCGCTCCTGACCTCTAGGGTCGAAAATCCTCAAACGCGGCTCCACGACCCATCGGCTTCCGAGACTCTTCGGCCCCGCGACCCGCGGAGTGACAAGGAGGGACACGCGGCAGAAGCAAAGGAGAGAGAGGGAGAAGTCGAGGGGAAACAGGACGAGGCGGAGGAGGAAGAGTGAGAGGAACAGAAATAGGAGGAAGAGCAGCCAGAGGAGGAGGATCAGAGGAAGGAGGAGGGGAAAGGGCCGCCAAGGAGGGATCATGCGCTTGAGCAAAGGGATGGGGCTTATGTTCCCGGGAGTCTTCCTGGGAACATCTTGCGCGACAGGAGGAGGAGCCCGAGAAAGAAGAGGAGGGGAACGAGAAGGAGGATAATATCGGTGAGGTGGAGAAAGGGGGGCACGCGGAATTATATTCCCGGGGGGCTTCCCGAGAACATATTTCGTGACAGCGGGAGGAGGAGCCCGAGAAGGAGGAGGAGGACAGAAACGAGGAGGAGGGCTAGAGCAGGAGGAGGAATCTCGAGAAGGAGACGGAGGAGGAGGAGGAGGAGGAGGAGGAAGAGGAAGGGGGGGAGCAGGAGGATGAGAAGGACGAGGAGGACAGACACGCAGGACAAGGTGAGCGGCAGGAAGAGGAGGAGGAGCAGGACGAGCAGGACATAAGGAGTAGGCGGAAGGGAAGGAGGGTGAGGAGGAGAAGAAGGGGAGCGGGAGGAAGGGAGGTTCAGAGGGAGCAGGAGGAGGTAGAAGAAGGACAGGGGGAGGTGCCTGAGTAGCATGAAGAGCAGCCGCAGCGGGAGGAGGACATGGGAAGAAAGACGAAGGGGCAGGGTGGCGAACAAAACAAAAGAACCGCT